ATTGTATCTTGATTCACTGATCATGTAACAATTCCTGAAGTGGTGCAGCTGGGGGCCAGATTCTGCCACCCTTGTTCATGCTGAGGGTTACTTTCTTCCCGACATGGTCCTATTTATGTCAGTGGAAATACTTAGGGAGTAAATTAATGCTCAGTGTGAATAAGGGTGGTAGAATCTGTCCTGTAGGCATTATCACTGAAGTTAATATAATCAGTACCCAATATACAATGATAATTATGTATTGTACATAAGCTCCTACCATGTTAGTACAGAATCATTATTATTATATATTTATAGTACAGTAGCCTCTACAGAGCACCAATGGGAGCAGGGCCCCACTGTGCTACGCACTGTACAAATACATAATAAGAGCCTTCGGACATGAGAGAGAGGAACAAAAAGGACAGGCTTTTGGAATTTACAGTCTAAATAGACAAGACAAAGGGTGGGAGGGAAAAGGCGAGGCAGTCAGAAGTGAAGTGACTTGCCTTAGGCTACACTGCAAGCCAGTGGCAGAGTCTAAAATAGAACCAAGATCTCTTGGATCTGAGTCCAGTGTCCTATCCCCTGGACCACACTGCCTATTCAAATCATAGTAATTTCAGATCCAAGAGATGAGAAACATGTTCCCCAAATCTGGAATATCCATCTAGTTGCTGGCCTTACTGAAACAAGAATATATGTTGTTTAAAGCATCCTGGCTTTAACCAAGCAAAAAAAAAATGGCAGTGTCTATTTTTCACAAGACCCATGCTGAGCTCTTTCAGTCTCACTACAGTAACACAGTGAGGCAGGCAAGATTAGCAAATACTCCTGTGCTCCTAGAGATTAGTGCAGCAGTATCTTATCTCACATAGGGCTTCTATGGTGGAGAACATTATAGTACCTGAGTGCTTCACAAACATTAATGAATATATTTTCACAGCATCCCCGTGAGATGAGGTGGCATTATTTCCGTTTTACAGATGGGGAATTAAGGCACAGAAACATTAATGTCAAAAGCACACACTAAATATTGGGTGATCAATTTGAAAATCTGAGGGGTTTTTGGGGGCATTTAACAATGTATGGTTCTTTTTTGTTCGGAACACAGTCTCACAGACTTCAGTTGCAGTCAGCACTTCTGCAAATCTGATCTCCAGGTTGTCAAATTGGGCATCCAGAAAATGAGGTACATACAGTTAGTGACCTCCTGTGAAAAGTTTGGTTCAAGTGACTTGCACAGGATTGCACAGGAACTCTGTGACAGAGACAAGGATAGAATCCATTTCTACAGACCACCGTTCAACTGTCGTAATTACAAGATTGTCCTTTATCTTCCTGCATTACACCTTCCAACTTCTGGAACAAATGAGCTTCATTCACTAAACAAACCTGATTCATTCTCCAACCACCATCCATCGCTTCACAGGCTGTATATGTACAAAGGTTGATGGCAAGCGGTAAGTTTTAAAACACAGATGCCTAAATAGAGCTTGCAAAATATGCACACATATGTAAAAAAATAATTATGAATGCAAAATACACAATTGTACATGCATGTAGGTATTTGCATAAAGACGTTTGTGAGAGCAATTAATTGTTCTATGTGTGTATGAACATTTTTTGAAATTGTTTGATTTTTTTTTTTAATTTCGTCCTGAAAATGTGTCTTTGGCTTATATTAGTGCAGGGAAATCTGAATAACCCTAAGAGCATAAAAAACTTCATTTCTTGCCTGTTTGGAAATTCCACATTCAATTTCTCCAAATTTTCACCAACAAAAAAATCGCCTTTGGGCTGAGAATAAGCCTGAGCAATTTCATCCCAATGGGTTATTTTTCTGGAAAGTAGTAAGTATCTAAAAAAATAGGGGCTTTGAATGAATGTGCTTCCTGAACCATGACTGTAGGCTCAAATGTATATGGAAATTCTATCAACCATTTAGTCTAGTTAGAAGGTAACAGACACACTGTAATGAAAAGGACATGTATGCCAAAGTGTGTGGTGTAGACTTTTTGTTTTTGTGTGTAGTGGGTTGGGGTTTTTTGTTTGGTTTGTTGTTTCTTTTGGTAGCCTGTAAAACAAATGTATTGAGGTGATAAGTGCCTGAAAGTACGAACACCACAGAAAAATCTGAACTCATCTCACTTTAAATAGAAGTTTAGAGGACAATAGTAGACAGAAATTCTGGCTGCCCCAAGCATCCTTTTTTCAAGTCTCATTTGTCAAATAATGTAACGCTCTAATGGGACATTTCTCTGCCATTCTTGTTCACCTGCCTATTCAATCTAAAATGAAAATATAATACCTGCATTTTACAGCTATTTATCTCTTTCTGGTTCTTTTTAAATTGTAACTTGTAACACAGGCACTGCCATGCAATTTTAAAGAAAACAAGCTGCTAGAGATGCTCAGAAATTAGGGTTCTGATACTGGTTCTGACACTGGGGAGTAGGACCTACTTCATGTACTGGGCCAGCCATTCTGTGACACACATTAAAATTCAGTGGACGTTCGGAGACTAATTCTGTTAGGTTCTTTGAAAATTCTAGCCTATATATGCAAGTTGTTTGGCTTACCTTGACCATAGAGATGGCAGCTCTTCTTGTAAATCAATATTAAAGTCTTCAAACACTTTCTGTGCTTTTTGAAACTCTTCTTCTGCCTATAACAAAGCAAGACATGTTGGCTTTTATTCTCCAAACACAGTGAAACTGCACAAATCTGTTTTTCTATTAACAAAAGAAGAGTGTAGTTCAAACTACTGTTTATTATAGCGTATAAAATTCACTTGTTTCATTTTGCAAAGGCTACTGCAAACATTTTTTGTCTAGTTTGGCTTGCATAGGTTTGAATCTCAGGCATTTCTGGTTCCAAAGAATACAAGCAAAACCAAAAGAAAAAGTCACCTCTTTTGATGTCAAAATGTGCAAAATCACAAGTTCCATGCGGTTTCAATGGAAACAATAAATTGGCCCATCTTTACTGTAGAGGTTCAGAGCTTCTCTAAACCTTTGGGTGAACCTTTGCTGAATCTTGCATTTGTAACAAAACTGAAAACCAGCAATTTTCCAAAGAACTCACATTGTAACGTCATTTTCTCAGTTTTACTATTTACACTCTTTTTCTTATTTATTTACAGAGCGATAGACAATATTCTGAAGAATTTAATAATCCAGGGCAAGATCCTGCAACCCTCATTCATGTGAGCAGATGCTGTTAAATCAGTGGGACTACACATATGATTATGGGCTGTAGGATGAAGCCCCTCCTGGTGGTCTCATCTCGGTGCAACTGATCCCTGTACAAAAGGCAAGCACAAGGCCTATGCATCCCTTAAATCCCAGTGCAACTCAAAATAGGACTTAAATGGGACTCACTCCTGCAAGAAGCTGAGCACTCTGGCCCTGATCTAGCAGAGTGCATAACGTGTTTAAACGTCAGCATGTGAGCAGTCCCATTTTCTGAAATGGAAGAGAACAGACTTTATGCTATCTACTGTGCAGAAATAAATGTCACCCAAACTCAGGACGTCTGTTGCCAGTAATATTATTATTTAAAGACATACCCTACCTTTGTAATTCTGCTTTCATCTCTTCTTTTTGAGCTCTGCAAGGCTTCCAAGTGATGTCTTGCACTGTCATAGTCCACCAGCTTTCTGCTTCGCTTTGCAATGCGAGTCTGCAAAAAAAAATCAGCACTATTGCCACACATTCAAGCAATCTGAGATGGAACTTTCATTTAATTTGCTTTAATTTGTCTTTGATTCTTTACCCTCTCACTTGCAATCTAAACTTTATTTATCATAATATTGTACAGTGAACGCACATTTGGTGAAAGAGACAATTTAGGTAATTTATTACTTTAACTACGAAAACCTATTTATTGAGAAATAAAGGCGTGACAAGAGATGTGTGTGTGGAGAGTTTGCAGGACTGGAATGAACAGACGCATCTTTATCTCCAGCAGTGTGAATGGACTCATTAAGCTATACTATAATGGTATCACAAACTATCTTCCCTTTCATATTACACAGTGTGTGAATTTAATGATTAATATATATTAACTTTTTTCAGAGTTAGGAAAAATGCTGAAAACACACTTCTCAGTATGACTTCTTTGAATACATAATGAATACATTTAATTTTGACATCACATAATGGAAATTCCAATTAAGCTACTGTAGGTATCGTAGGACTTCTCATAATACTAAAAAAGGTGCCTTGGAAAATTGCTGACACAACAGTAATGCATATTGTATATAAATTTCCTTTTATAATACTGTGGACCAGATTCCAGGCTGCAGCTAAAGAGAACTGGGCACAGCTCAGGAACAGGAGTGGGACTTTATCTCACCTTGAGCACCCAGGACCCTAGGTTGTCCTGATGCTAATGTAGTCCCTGGTGTCAATTATAGCAGGGGCTGAATGTTCAACCCTTACTCACAGCTGAAGATCATCCCGTCATAAGGAAGCTCTGGCTTTGGCCCCCTTTTCCTGGCTATTTTTCCTATGTCAGCAGCCTGGGGAGTGCTGAAGTCACTAAGCTGGCTCTATGCCCCACTAGGATGCCTCAGTACTAACGGAATCTTCTAGTGGCTGGCTAAAATGACTTCAGAGCAGCTTTGCACCAATGGCGAGATGTAAAGTTGACCCAGCATACCAGAGGATCTGCCCCGTGTCTCAAATGAGACTGTAAGTAAACTTGCTGGTTATGGTGGTGATTTTTGCAATATGGCTGCCTGTTTTATAGAAAGTCATTGAGTCCACTCTTTCCTTTCAAATAAGCGCTGATCAGCCCTTAGATGACAATTTTGAGAGTCACTATTAGCATAGGCCTGATTCAAACCAGCAACACAGAAGCAAAAGGACTAAATTAATCACAGGCACGAGTGGCTGCACCTCAGTCAATCATGGGTGAAACCTTGAGACCCAATTCCACAGTATCTGAAGCCAGCCAATCTGGCTATGGCTCCTAAAATGGATGGTGTTAACATAAGCTGGCTACAGCTTTGATGGTATCCATAAAGGTAACAAATCAGGATGTTTGATTACAAAGATCACTCCAAATTCAGTTCTGTGACGTTGTGCAGTCTATATGGTTTTATAAAAACTTGATAATAAGTCAATATAATGTAACTGAGATAGTTTTAGAGAAAATACGGTAATAAGTGAATGTAAGTAACTGGGATATGCCTCATGCAAAAGGTCTCTTGTAAGGTATCATTACAAAGCTTATAATCTACTGAGTGTGATCATCTGATTTGTATAAATGTACCACTCTTGTATCTGAAACTAGAAATATAAAATGTAACTCTGAGGGCCTATTGTAATTGTGTAAAGTGTGGACATTAATGATGGTTGAATCTTGATGACTCCATTGTCTGCAGATGGCTGTATTAACCTGTGAGTCTTCCTGTACAGGAGTGTGCTGGCAAGTGCGTTCCGCACCATCCCCGAGATCTTTAATAAAGATACTAAACAA